GTGGCTATAAGCAAGCGTCGATCAAATGAGCACATGATCGAATGACATCACTTCAGGGCACGCGGCATGTATCCATGGCAACGCTCAGCTGCGTAGTGACGGTTAACGGTCCTCGGTGATTTCGACACGGCCTTGAGTTTTCGCTTTCGTTGGTCGAAAAGGTATTTATACTTTTATATTTGTAGACATTAGCTATCGTAACCACTGTGTATCTCGTAATGCTTACATTTTATGAAAAGTTTACCTTTTTAAACGTTTGCTGAAGTTGTCCCGTACGGCTGCTGACGTTAGCCTATGTGAACACTTTCGAAGCTAACGTTAGCATGTAACGCTGAAATGATTAAACGTATATAATATTGACAGTTATTTAACTTAAATATTGAATTTCCATATGGTAAAAATACACACTGATACGCCTATATGCGGCAAAAAGGCCTATGTGCGCTAAATTTCGGACCGCTTGGTCTAAATCCAAATGTGTTCATTTTGTTGTTTTAGGTTAGAAGACAATGGGAAGAATTGCCATCGGACTAACCACAGCTGACAACCAGAGACGCACACACACACACGGAAAGAGCACCGCAACTTTACAATTGTTCAATTAAAATAAACGTATTTTGCTCCATACAACGTGTCTGTTGTCTTTGATTAGCCTAAAAGTAAAATAACATAACATTCAGAGGACTTAAAGCGAAAGTCCCCTAAACGTCCCGAATGGCCGCTGCACGTCCTGTGAACGTCCCCTTGAACGTCCGGAGGACGTCTTCGCGGACGTCCGCTCGACGTAAAAGGGGACCCTACACGCTGACGTCCGGGGGACGTTCGCAGAGGCCATTTAGGGGACGTCCTGGGGACCTTTTTTTGTTAGCTGGGATATGACCCCTTTAAGATCTGACGCATAGATCAAATATTTTGACACATCCATATTTCTCTCAACTGTTCAAGTTCACTTAAGACAAAACCGACTGCATTTACATGAATAGTATTAGTCTCCAAGACGGACATTTTGACATAACTTTTCATGTAAGTGTGTAGCAATAACAGAACATAAGAGAACTTAAGCGAAAAGAACTCGGCATTCGCACACTAACTGAGAGGCACGTTCTGTGGCCGCAGTTTCGGTGTGTGAGCACAGAAACCTGTCGGCTTTCAAATGCTGGACAAGACTTAAAAACACATGCAAATACTGAATATCACTTTCGTGATAATGCATCGAGTCAGTGACATGTCCGTCAAATGTCCCTGGACTCGGACATATTTTCCGAGTTGAGTCCGAGTAATAATGCATCCGAGTCCGTGACAAGTCCGAGTCCTTTAAAAATTGTTCGAGTCCGTGTACCCCAACTCTAATATTATTATTTTTTTTTTAAAGGGTGGATTCCATCATGTTGGTAGAAGAGGGATTTAAGGTGGTTAGTGTGGATGCCAGTGACAAAATGCTCAAATATGCTCTTAAAGAGAGATGGGAGAGGAGAAAAGAGTCTGCCTTTGATAACTGGGGTAAGTGGAGATCCCTGTTTTGAGTGGGCGACTTTACTGTTATGCAAGAATCAGTTAAATGTTTCTTCATGGTCTGGACATTTTTTTCAGTAATTGACGAGGCCAACTGGCTAACGTTACCAGAAGATGTTAAAAAACCTGGAGATGGGTTTGATGCAGTAATCTGTCTAGGCAATTCATTTGCTCATTTACCAGACTTCAAAGGTAAGAATACCAAAGCAAAAAAGTTGTAATATTTTTTGTACGGATTTGTCTATTTAACCACTTTCTCATATCTCACAGGGGACCAGAGTGAACAGAAGCTTGCCTTACAAAACATAGCCAGAATGGTGAAACCTGGAGGGATCCTAATCATTGACCACCGTAACTATGATTACATCCTTGAGACTGGCCAAGCACCCCAAGGAAAGAATATTTACTATAAGGTAGTTAAAGACCCACTGAGGTGTGCTGACCTAATTTTCAATAAAACAGGAAGTTATGGCGCCATCCACTTGATTCTTTGTATTGAGGATTTTACATCAGGGCTTAGCTGCAAAAATGTGAAAAAAAAAGAGACACATTCTGATAAATAGTTTGTCAGCATTACCTACCAAAAAGTAATTAAAGGTGCAGTAAAATGTGGTTTCTGAGAAACAGTGTTGAAAACTGAAATCGACACGTAAACAAACAATTCTGTGAATATATGCTAGCTGCCTGTTCTGTGTGATGAAAAAATGGTGTTTGTTTTTAAGGCTGTTAACTAAAAGGCTGTTTAGTTGACTTGATTTTTGTTATTGTAAAAGTCCAATAATTCTGATGAAATGTGAAAAAAGTCAGGGCTTGTTTTTCAGAGTGACCTAAAACAGGACATTTCCACCTCAGTGCTGTGGGTTAATAGGAAGCCTCACATGATCACACTGGACTACACTCTGGAACTGCCTCAACTAGTGGATGTTCAGACTCCACCTGATACAAGGTACTGTGACCTAAGCTTCTAATGGGGTCAGTTTTTGAGTGGTTGTAATCTGTATTATAGAGTACTCTGGAACATGTATGTAATTACAAAAACAGAAAACAATCAGCCGGGGGCAAACAGTTTTTCAAGGTACTGTAGCCTATATATCTTACAATACCAGGTGAAGTATTGCAATACAGAGATCACTATATACGCAATACCATTAATTCATAATTAAAATCTACAAATGCAGATTATCTATCTATCTATCTATCTATCTATCTATCT